TGCCCGGATAATTTTTGTATTTTCTTTTTTTTTTTTTTGAGACGGAGTTTCGCTCTTGTTACCCAGGCTGGGGTGCAATGGCGCGATCTCGGCTCACCGCAACCTCCGCCTCCTGGGTTCAGGCAGTTCTCCTGCCTCAGCCTCCTGAGTAGCTGGGATTACAGGCATGTGCCACCATGCCCAGCTAATTTTTTGTATTTTTAGTAGAGACAGGGTTTCACTATGTAGACCGGGATGGTCTCCATCTCTTGACCTCGTGATCCACCCGCCTCGGCCTCCCAAAGTGGTGGGATTACAGGCTTGAGCCATTGCGCCCGGCAATTTTTGTATTTTCTATAGACACAGTCTCACTATGTTGCCCAGACTGGTCTCGAACTCCTGGGCTCAAACAATCTACCTGCCTAGGCCTCCCAAAGTGCTGGGATTACAGGCATGAGCCACTGTGCCTGGCCTCAGTCCCGTCTTTGTCATCTCATCCATTGGCTTTACGGGACGTGTAGGTGTTACGCTCATTCCCTTGGCGATCTCCTCTCTAGTTCCAGAGCATCAATCATGTCTGTCTTGACAGCTCTGCAATTTCTCATTCCATCCTCCCAAGCTCTCCTGTGAACTCCATGCGCCTGGATCTAATAGGCATCTCCACATACCATTCCCACAAGCAAACCCTCCATTGTTCACCTTAGACTTGCTTCTCTTCCTGTGCCTCGCATCTCAGTGAAGGTTATTCCTCTTGCTCAGGCCAAAGTCTTGGAGTTCTTGACTCCTCTCTTTCTCTCAAATACCACGTCCTATTTGTCAGCAAATCTTGTTGGCTCTCCCCACAAAATCTATCCAGAAGCTGACCTTCTGTCCCCGCCCTGGTCCAAGCCACCAGCCTCTCATCAGAATGGCTGTGGTGGCCTCCTCACTGGCCTCCCATGCTTGCCCTCCCCCAGTCCCTTTGCCACACTGCTACAAGAATGACTGGAAAACTTAACTCAAGATTGTGTCTTGCTCCTGGGAAACTCCTGCAATCACTTCCTTTATAACACTGACTTCCAGAAGACCTTCTAACTATGATCTAAAACCCAGAAGGCATAGAAGATTAAAGAGTCCAACCAGCCAAAAATAAACTTTTCATGCCCAAAACCAGCATAAAATCAATGAAAAACTAGGAAAGGATTCGCCCTGTATAACACAAAGGGCTGGTCTCCCTCATACATGGAAGGTACCCAGAATTCTGTATTTTATTTATTTATTTATTTATTTATTTATTTATTTATTTATTTGAGACAGAGTCTCACTCTGTTGCCCAGGCTGGAGTGCAGTGGTGCAATCTCCGCTCGCTGCAACCTCCGCCTCCTGGGTTCAAGCGATTCTCCTGCCTCAACCTCCCGAGTAGCTGGGATTACAGGCAGCCGCCACCATGTTCAGCTAATTTTTGTATTTTCACTAGAGACGGGGTTTCTCCATGTTGTCTAGGCTGGTCTCAAACTTTTTTTTTTTAATAATAGAGACGGGGTTTCACCATGTTGGCCAGGCTGGTCTTGAACTCCTGACCTCAGGTGATTCACCCGCCTCGTCCTCCCAAAGTGCTGGGATTACAGGTGTGAGCCACCACGCCTGTCTGGTCTCAAAATCTTTACCTCAGGTGATCTGCCCACCTCAGCCTCCCAAAGTGCTGGGATTACAGGCATGAGCCACTGCACCCAACTGAATTCTAGATAAAAAAGACCAGCAAAAGGCCAAGGCAGGAGGATCGCTTGAGCCAAAGATTTCAAGACCAGCCTGGGCAACATAGTGAGATCCTGTCACTAGTTAAAAAAAAAGAAAACAAGAAGACCAACAATATGAGTAATGGGCAAATGACAGGAATAGACACTTTGCAGGAGAAATAAAGTGCACATCGTTTTTAAACATGTGAAAAGAGAAATACAAGTTAAAAACCACACTAAGGTCAAAGAAAAACTTGTACATGAAGGCTCATAGCAGCATTATTTACAATAGCCAAAAGGTGGAAACACCTGAAATGCTCATCGGTGACCGGATGGATAGACAAGATGCAGTGCGTGCAGACAATGGACTACCGCTCAGTCATAAAAAGGATCCATGTGACAGCATGGAGGAACCTCAAAGCGTGATGCTAAGAAATACAAGCTAGACACAAAGGCCATGCACTGTAGGATTCCATTGATGTGCAGCTTCCAGAACAGTCCAATTCATTGACACAGTAGATTAGCAGCTGCCAGGGCCTGGGGAAGAGACTGCTCAGTAGCCACTGGGTCTCCTTTTGAGGGTGAAAGTGTTCCAGTGAAAGGCAATGGTCACACCACAACACGAATGTACCAAATGCCACCAAACTGTACATTTTAAAATGGCTACTTTTCTGTCATGTGAATTTTTCCTCAGTTGAAAAAATTAAAAACACAAAGAAAAAACAAAACCCCGTGCTGAGAAACCATGTCTCCATCTCAGCTTGGCATGTGCCCCCCCAGTGGCGACTGAGGGCACCATGTGGGCAAGGCTGGGAGAGCCGGCCCTCACCTTGCCCATGGGGCTGCAAAGTGGGCAGGCCCTAGGAGTGGACTTGGCCACTCCTGCAATGATGAATCTGCAGTTGAAGAGTGAGGAGCCTCTCTGCACCCATGTGAAAAGATGCCGGGTATTGGGCTGTATTGCTAATGGACACTATGGTGCATGGTGCCAAGCAACACTCAAGTGCAGCGCCTTTTGTGTAAGGTGAGGGTCATGAGGGGCAACCAGAGGAGCTTGTCTTCGTATAAAGAGGACAGGGAAGCAGGCAGTGAAGAAAAGCACATCACTGTTGGAGACACTGCTGGAACTGGCCCAGCCTAGCGGGATGTCAGGTGTCCTGCTGCCTGTGCTTCCATGCTGACATGGGGCTCACATGAACACAGGGCCTCTGCTGGACAGTCAAGGTGAGAGAAAAGGGTAGCATCCATCCCTGCCCCTTATCTTGAAGCTTCCTCCTTCCCCTTGTTCCAGCCCAGGCTGGAGTGCCATGGCGTGATCTCAGCTCACGGTAACCTCCACCTCCCGGGTTCAAGCGATTCTCATGCTTCAGCCTCCTGAGTAGCTGGGACTACGGGCGTGCACCACCACGCCCAGCTCATTTTTGTATTTTTAGTAGAGACAGAGTTTCACCACGTCGGCCAGGATGGACTGGTTCTCTTGACCTCAAGTGATCCACCCACCTTGGCCTCCCAAAGTGCTGGGATTACAGGAATGAGCCACCGTGCCCAGCTTCCAGCTTACTTTTGACCCACATTTGGTGTTCCCTCTGCCTGGAACACACCCTCCCACATAGAAATGGCTGACTTCTTATCATTTGGATGTCAGCTTAAATGTCCCCATGCCAGAAAGGCCAGTTAACCTTGCGCCTGCATTTTTTTGGTTTCCCTCTCTGCTGTCTACACACACAGTCCCCAGGAATGAGGTCTGGGTGAGCAACGCAGGTGACCACTCCTGGCACACATTGATCCTTGGTGACCTTATCTGGTTCCAGAGCATCAAATACCTACTTTGCCAAACAAAGTGGCTCACACCTTCAATCCCAGCAGTTTGGGAGGCCGAGGTGGGAGAATTACTTGAGCACAGCAGTTCAAGTCCAGCCTGGGCAACACAGCAAGACCCCATCTCTACGAAAAAATTCTGGGCCAGTCACAGTGGCTCACACCTGTAATCCCAGCACTTTGGGAGGCCGAGGCTGCTGGATCACGAGGTCAGGAGGTCAAGACCAGCCTGACCAACATGATGAAACCCTGTCCCTACTAAAAATATAAAAATAGGCTGGGCATGGTGGTGTGCACCTATAATCCCAGCTATTTGGGAGGCTGAGGCAGGAGAATTGCTTGAACCTGGGAGGTAGAGGTTGCAGTGAGCCGAGATCACACCACTGCACTCCAGCCTGGGCAACAGAGCAAGACTCTGCTCAAAAAAAAATTCTGTTCCAATTTTCATGTACGTAAAAATAAAATAAAATAGCCAGGCATGGTGGTGCATACCTGTAGGCCCCTGGAGTCCCTAGCTACTCAGGAGGCTGAGGTGGGAGGATCACCTGAGCCCAGGAGGTGGAGGCTGCAGTGAGCTGAGATTGCACCACTGCATCCAGCCTGAGAGACAGAGCGAGACCCTGTCTCAGAGAAAAAAAAAAGAAGAAAAATACATTACTCTGCCCTCGTCTCTCTTCCTAGTGACACCAGGTAGCTACTTCCCGGCCATGGTGAATGAGACGCTGGGTGTCTGCACTGTCCGGCGCCATTAGATCTCCATATTTGCCAGGAAGGGGAGGCCAGACCCAGGGCTGGGGTGCTCCTGGCCAGTGAGGGGCTGTCCCCAGTCTTCTCCTCTTGGCCTCAAGCCAGGGAAGGAAGAGTGGAAATAAGGAGCTGTCAGCTGGCCTTCCTCAGCCTCCTGGATCCAGGCCTGCCTGCCTCAGCTTAGCCAAGTGGAACCTGGGGAAGTGGCTGCTGAGGTGGCAGAGGGGAGTCCTGGACCTATCCCCGCTCTGGATCCTGCACCAAGGGTTGTCTGAGCAGAGCCAGCTAAGGCAGGGCAGGGAAGTGTTGAGTGCAGGGTACCACAGCAGACCAACCATGCTGGGACAGCCCAGAGCAAGGAAGGCCACATGACAGCCATGTCCCCTGTGGGAAATTCAAGAGGAGCCCAAGGTCCTGGCAGAGAGGCCTGGGAAGGAACATCCTTCCCACCCACCAGAGCCACCACAGCCTGAGGAAAGCTGCCCGTGGTCAGGAAGCACAGGGCACACAGACACCTCAGGGATGGCGGGGCTGCCACAGGGACAGATTCCCCAGGCATGTGTGACATGTCTAGAACAGGCCAATCCATGGAGACAGAAAGCAGACTGAGACCTTGCCCATGGCCATGGGGCCTTTTGGAGGGATGAGAATGTCCTGGAAGGAGACCAAGGTGATGATTACACCGAATCACACACTTTTAAATGGTCAAAATGACAAATGAATTTGACCGGACACAAATGGTTTGAAAGAAAGTGCGGTGTCTCACACTGCAGGCGCTCCAGCTCTGACATGTGCACTTCTTTATTGTAAAAGAATAAGGCGGTCACTGGCGTGCCGAGGGCAGGACACGAGCAGCTGCCACCCTCCTCCCAGTGTGCCTGGCATGGTAGCAAGGGAGCGGGTGCCTGGGGTCCCGAGACATCGTGGGGCACACTGAGGGAGCTGAAGAGGTGAGGCCACATAGCCTCCCAGACGCTCAGCGGATCTGGTGTGAGGACAAGGTGGACAGAGGGGACAAGGAAGAGAAGGCGAGGGATGAGCAGGGGCTGGCTGCCATTCCCACCCAGGAGGGGCTCCTGGCAGCCCCAGCCTCCACAGTGTCTGGGGGCTGCTCCTCACCGTGTACTTGTCCCACTTCTTCTCCGGGTCGTAGGGCTCCCAGCGGCTGGCAGGGAAGATGTGCTTGTTCTTCTCATACCAGCTCCTCAGCACCACCTTGCCTGCATGCGACTGAGGGAGGGAGGGCACAGGGCTGCTGGCGACCTCCCCTTCCCTTGGCTTCTCCTCCCCAGCCCACGGATACCCAGCCCCCTTGCAAGGCCCCTGGCTGTACCTCATCCTTCTCCACGGTGGCGTCACTGAGCAATCGAACATCATCGTGAACGTCAAAGTTGAAGAGCGGCCCTGCAGGGGGGAAGCAGATATCCTGGCATCTGCTGCTGCCCCAGTGATGATATCCGGAGCGAGGTGCTATGGGGGTGGCTGGGCCGGGGGCACTCACCACTCTTCCCCCGTGCCTTGGTGACGATGAAGTCGTAGAAGCTGTGATGCTGGAAGCCAAGAGCAGCAAAGTGGCACCTTGATGGCTCACCTCGGCCTTTCCTCCCCACCTCCCCCTGCAGGCCAGACAGGGGCACACCTGCGCACACTACCTCTACCAGCCCGAGCCACAGCCCAGGGCGCAGCACTCACTGCAGGGCCTGGGGCTGAAGGGACTCACGTGCGGGATGATCAAGTCCTCCTTGATGTACATGAGCTGCTCCACCCCTGCGGACCTGAGGGGGGAAGGCAGGAGGGCATGGGCAAGCGGACAGCAACCCTGGAGGGAGGGGGCAGCCAGCGCAGGAGAGCCCATGCTGGGGCTGGGAGGCAGCAGCCAGCGGGCTGTGAGGGAAGCGCCATGGTTTGGGGAGCCCAGGTCTGGTGCCCAGCGTCCTCCACCTTTGGGCGAAGGAACCAAGGCAGGGCATTCCCAGCAAAGCTCTCTCCAGTTGGGAGGGATGGGAAGAGGAGCCTGACCCCTTCTTTTGGGAGCAGAGTGCCCAGCACACTTCCTCCTAGACCAGGCAGAGCCTCCCACGGCACCGCATGCACACGCACAGCTCACACCTCAGCTCGCTGAAGTCTTTCCGGAGGATCTCCAGCGCCTTCTGCAGGAACTGCTGCATGGTATTGCCCTTTCTCATCTGCATCCGGGAATCCAAGAGTTGGGAAGGGAAGGCGGAAGCATGCAGAAGGGCTCTTGAGAAGGCAGAGGCCCAGAGGGCCCTGCCAGAGACTGCAGAGGCTCAGCAGGACGCCCAGGCCTGGGCCTCACTCCCCAGAGCCTGTTATTCTCAGGATTCCCGTGGCTTCCCAAGTCAGAAAGGTCAGTTCCTTCCCAGGGAAGCTAAGGGAGGCTGGGCCCACGGTGAGCAGGAAGCAGGCTGCACGCTGCCTACCTTGACTGTCCGCCGGTGCCCAGAGCCGTCCCAGTAGCTGAAGGTGATCTCAATCTCCTCACCTACAATGCAGAGCTGCCTCTTGGTCTCCAGACCCAGGCATCCCCGCCCCAATGAGAGCAGCCTCGGAGCCCGGCGCACCACCCAGGGGACTGCGGGCTCTCACTCTTGATCTTCTCCTGCTTGGCTTCCCACTCCTGCCGCAGCTCTTCCCGAAGCCGATTCTCTTCCTCCTGGGAGGGGGCAGGTAGAGGGCTGAGGCCCAGGGCTGCTCAGGTGCACAAGGGTCTCCACCAGGGCTGAGGTTTAGGCTGGGGTCAGGGCCAGGCAGCCCCTACCTCACGGTCTCGATCAGGCAAAAAGCTTGTGTCCACATCTGGGTTCTTCCCCAGTTTTCTCTTCTTCGTGGTGATCTCTGGAACAAAAAGAAGCCAAGAATATCACAGCATTATTATGAAGATGATTTTGTGTGGCTGATGCCCAGGGTCCACCAAGCAAACTTTGAGAATTGTTGGTCTTGAAGACGAGCCTAGGGCGGGCACAGAGGCTCACACTTGTCACCCCAACACTTGGGTAGGCTGAGGCAAGAAGGTCGCTTGAGCCCAGGAGGTGGAGACCAGCATGGGCAACATAGCAAGACCTAGACTCTACTAAAATTCAAAAAAATCAGTGGGATGTGGTGACATACCTGCAGTCCCAGCTACTTGGGAGGCTGAGGTGGGAGGATTGCTTGAGCCTGGGAGATCGGGGTTGCAGTGAGCCATGATCAAACCACTGCACTCTAGCCTGAGCAACAGAATGAGACCTCTCTGCCCCCCCAAAAAAAAGACAAAAAAAGAAAAAAACAAGACAAGTCTAAACTCTTTAGCCTGCCCTGATGCTCAAGAGCAGAGATTCTAGAGCCTGGTTGCACATTCGAATCACATGGAGAGCTTTAAAAAAAATGGACATCAGGGTCCTGTGGCTGGGCCCCTAAAGGAAACCTATGGCGGGACGGAAGAGCCTACCAAGCAGTGTTTTGTCAAAGCCCCAGTGACACACAGAGAGGCTGCCAACCTTTCCCCCAGGCCTTCACTGTCCATGCCAGTAGCTCCCAAGTTCAAGACCAGCTTGGGCAACGTGGCAAGATTCTGTCTCTACAAAAAATACAAAAATACAGAGCGCCTGCAGTCCCAGCAACTCAAGTGGCTGAGGTGGGAGGGTCCCTCGAGTCCAGGAGGTCAAGGCTGAAGTGAGCTGTGATCACACCTCTGCACTGCAGCCTGGGCCACAGGGAAACAGTCTCAAAAACAACAACAGTGAAAACAGAAACACAAATCAGTAGCTCCTGCTGCACACAGCACCCAAACCGCAGCATACATAGCTGTCACCTTCCCTGACCCCTGGGTTAGCCCTGTGGGTCCTGAGCAGAGCAGCAACCCTGCGTGTCTTGAGCGCATGGTGACCTGTGACTTCCACCAGGAGAGGCACAGCACAGGTGTGTGGCACACACGGGGGCCAGGCTGGCGTCACCCTCACTCCCCAGCCATCTTGAGCTTTCCCTGACAGCAGTGTCTGACTAGTAGCTACAAATTTCTGTGGCTGTTTACATTTATGTTGAAATGAATCAAACAGAATTAACTATTCAGTGCCCCTGTCACACCAGCCACCTGCAGCCAGTGGGTACCACACTGGGTGGCACAGACTCTCACATTTCCATCATCACAGAAAACGTGGCCAGCCAGCCTGCTCTGGGCCACCTTCTCCCCTCCCTGGTCTACTATGCATGGTGCCTCCAGAGGGCAGCTTTTGGAGCCTTGCTGACAGGGCATCAGCTTTGCTGACAGCCTCTTGCATTGGTGTCCCCTCCCCAGGGGCCGTGGGTGGGGCTCCGACTCAAGCCTGCCCTCACCTTCCCTTTCCAGCTCCTCCTCATACATGGCTACCTCCTCCTCCTCCTCGGCCCCCTCTTCTTCCTCCTCCAGGGTGAAGGACAGGCTGGAGATCTTCCGCTTGGCCTCCTTCTTGCGCTCTTTCTCTCGCAGCTTCTCCAGCTTCCTAGCGAGGTGCAGGTGGCCCCATCACAAACCATGTCATTCCATGGCCCCAACCCAGCCCCTTCCTTGACCCTGAGCCACCTGTGTGCCTGGTATGAGGCCTGCCCAGCCCAGGCTGGGTCCCCAGTGCCCCAGAGGGGTCCTGCTGTCCTGGATCACTTCAAGCTCATGGGCAAGGGCTCTGTTACAAACAGCAAGCACAGAGGGCCACACAGGCCATAGGACAGAGAGGAATCGGGAGAATGCGGGCTGCTCAGGCACTGGAGCAAGGAAAGGGTCCAGGCAGGGCCACTGCATGTAGAAGGTCAGAAAGAAGACAAGCCACCAAGGCAAGACGTGAGCATGGAGCCAAAGAAGCAGGAGAGAGAAATGCAATTCGCAAGCTAGATGCTACCCCTGTCCCAAAGCAGGAGACGGGGTCCCCCAAGGTGCAAAAAGAGCCTGAGCGGCCCCGGGACCCTGTGAGCACTAGCTCCATGTTGACGGCTGTGGCGAGGGGACCCACAGCTGCAGCTCCTTGGACTGCTCCTTCTTGGCCAGCTGCTTCTCCCGCTCCTTCACCAGCGCCTCCTGCTTGGCCTTCATGTCGTTCAGGGTCACCAGACCTTCGAAGCAAGAAGACACAAGGGGCAAGGTAGTTACCGGGGCCAGCGGAGGAGTGGCCCAGGGTCTGGGTGAGGGGGGCACCCACAACCTGCTCACCCACGGTGCTGGACTTGAGCTCTGCCTCTACTGCATCGTAGTGTGCAGAGAACTTCTTGTCAATGTTGGATTTCATGATGTTCTCCTGTGAGGAGGAACAGCCACCATGAGAGCTGCCCCCACTGTGCAAACAGCAGCCTGGCCATCGGGGACCTGGGTTATAGTCCAACTCTGCCCCTGTGCTCTTTGTCGATGGAAGGTTTCATGAGACAGGGCAGGACTCTTCAAGTGTGTTTCCCTTCCATCCCTGAGCTGCTCTGGCCCTTCAGGTCTCCTGCTGGGGATCAGCACTCCCTCCGTAGCCTGAAACCATCAGCCCTACTGACCTCTGGCCTTTTTCATCCTCAGCCTTTAAGCTGAAGCTCCCAAGACCCAAGTCAAGGAGCATAAAGAGAGGGCAAAGAACAGAGTGGTTGAGGGTCCTGCCCCCTCCCTGAGTGATTTTACTCCCTCCAGGCCACAGAATGTCACCAACAGCTTCCCAGGAGGCCCATTCTCTTTGGTCCCAATCCCATCCCACTTGGTACCATGTCAAGCATTCGCTAACCAGCAACCTCCCAAGGAGGTGGCTGGCAGAGAAATACACTTTCTGCTTGCTGGGCACCCCGGCTCAGACAGTGGGGCCAGGGCTTCCCCATTTCCCAAGGCAGAAGCCTGCTCTCTCTGGGAGCCCTAAGTCCTGATGAGTGAGTCTCTCCAAAAGGATCAAGCTGAGAGCTCCTCCACGCTCCTTCCCTGACAGCCACCATGACCGGCCACTCACGGAAGCGGTGGGTGAACCGATGGCGCCCGGAGGCTCTAGCCTGCCTCAAAGGCACAAGGGGTTCTGGAAGGAGCCTCCTGGACCGCGGACTAGCCAGGCCTGGCTCGGGCCTCCCCGTGCCTCTCCCGGGGAAAGGAATCCCCCAGCTAGTGGCGTAGGCCTCAGAGAATGCCCGGCTCTGGGCCCATTTTACAGAGGAGACTGTCGCCGGCTTGCTTTTGTGCCCTGCTGGAAGTCAGCGAGCTAGGGGCCCGCGCTCCAAGGCCGCGGCCCCGGGGCTTCCAGGGCCGGAGCGTGGAGCGGGGCCGTCAGGGGACCCGGGCGGCGCGCATGCTCCGAGGCATCCCGGCCCGCACCTCCGCGATGCGCTGCTTCATCTGCTCCATCTGCTCGCGCTGCTTCTCCCTTTTCTTCATCAGGTGCATGGCGCGGCCGGCCTCGCTCGCGGCGCCCTTGTATTGAGCCATGGCGGCGGCGGCGGCGGCGGCGGCGGCGGCGGCGGCGGCGGCAGCCCGACCCGGTCTCGGCAGCAGCTGCGGTGGCGACGGAACAGTCAGCTGACGCCCGCGCCGTGACGTCAGCCCCCCAGAGTCGCGCGGACGCCCCGCCCCACCGCGCACCAACTGGCCCGAAGTGTGAGCGCCGCCCGCCCGCCTCGTCGGAGACCGCCCCTGACCCCGCCTGGACTCCCGCTCCAGCCCCCACCGCTTGCTACTGTGGACCCCGGAGGCTTAATCCTCCAGTCCCCCGCGCTGCCTCGACGTTAACCCGACCGGAGGCTGGGCCCCCGGTCCCTCTAATTCCTCCGGTTGACCCCAAGGCTGGGCTCCGCCCCCTCACGTCTTTGATGCTGATCCCTGCCCAATGCCGGATCCCCTGGTCCTGTTGCTGCCTTCCTGCCTGAGGCCAGGCCCTGCTCCCCGTGCATTAACCCGAAAACTGGCACCCGTCCCCCTGTTTCACTTCGAATTCCATCCAAGGCTGGCCCCTGGTCCCCTCTGCCCTCTCCCTTCAAGCCAGAGGCCAGGACCCCAGCTCTCTCTGCTTCCTCCACGTTGACACCCACCCCTGCCGCACTCCCCCCGTTTGGAGCACCGAGGGCTTGCAGTCCTTGTGCCAGCATTCACTCATTCGGTGAATTTGATCTTACGCAGGTCAATTTGGCCCCAGGGTGCTCTGGGTGAGGAATTCCTTGGTGAGTAATGCCACCTTTTACAGTCCAGAGTGAAGCTAAGCCAGAGCCCCAACCCAGGCAGCCAAAGCCCTGCTAGGTACCCAGCTTTTGGGAAGTAACTGTAAAGATCCAGAGGTTCAGGTTTCAACCGTTTTATTGGGAGGTTCTGTTTTCTGTGAAATACACTAGAGAGGGGGAAGGGGACACATTCACTTTGCAAGGTAAGGGTTTCCCACCACTAAAGGAAAGGCATGGGGCAGGGCACACGGGGGTTTGGATCCATTTTCCCACCTCCTCCTGCTTTGCTCACATTTCTTTTCTCTCAGCCAATACCAGAGAACAAAACACAAAGACAAGAAACAAAACAGCAAATCAACCTCCAACGGGCCACGCCCAAGCCTTCCCCACTCCCCAGGCTGGGCAAGGGCTGGGGCATCTCACTCTACAGCCCCCAGGCAGCACAGGAAGGCTGCAGGCTCAGAAGGGGTGGGTTGAAGTTAATAAATTAGAATAAATTAGGGGGGAGGAATGCAACTTTGTGCTGGGAGGGCCCCTTCTCTCCAACACGCAAGAGTTGGTAGGGGGAGGTGGGGCATCTCCAAAGGCCACTACAGTGGGGGTAAGAGCGGTGGGGGCAGAAGTCACCCTTTCCTCCATGTTCTTCCCAGAGCAGAAGGGGTGGGGGGAAGAGACACACACAAGGAGAGGAACCCTCTTTTCCTAGGATAAGGAAGGGCCAAGAAAGAGGATGCTAACCAACCCCCCATCTTCCAAACCATCGCTAGAGTTAAGGATTTGGTCAGTGGATCAATGAGGCAGGTGATGGGAAGGTGGTGGGGGAAGCAGAGGATGCTAGAGCCCTCGAGAACAGACAGGCAGGGGCAGCAGGGGCGGGGCAGCCGCAATCACTGCTCAGCTTCTCCAAAGACATCGTTCTGCTTGCGCTTCATGTTCTCGAAGTCAAAGGCCGTGCCAGCCATGCGTTTGTAGATGTCTTTGATGTCGTTGCAGGTTGTCTCAAAGTGTGTGGTGGCATCATAGGAGCAGGAACAGAACACCTGGAAATAGCCAGAGCCCAGGGCCCAGGGTGAATCGGGCAGGTGCCCTGGGCGGGCAGCCAGGAGCCAGGGCTGGGATAGGCTGCTTACCTGGCTCTCAGAACCGTCATCAATGGGCTCATACAAGTCACTGATAGCCACAAACCTGAGGGGCAGATGGAGGGGAGGGGACAGGCCTCACAATGGGCCATGCCCATTGTGGGTCCTTAAGCCCAGCTCCTGGGCTCCCTCCCTCTCCACCCCCAGGCTCAGCCAAGTCCCTTACTTCTGGTCAATGGGCTCCAACAGCTCCAGAGCTGGCTCCACCTCCTTTTCGGGATCCATGGTCTCCACGGTAGTGCTGGCAATGGCAATGTACTTGCCCTGGGCCGCCACGTTGTGTGCGTAGGAGATCATGCACACATAGATGTCTGGCCACAGGAAGAGCTCTGTCAACTCAGGCTGGAGGCACCAGCCGTGTGCAGAGAGGGGTTCCAGCAGCTGGACGCAAGTCTGGCCCGCCTGCCCCTCCCCAGCCCCACAGAGCAGGTAGCATCCAAGCTGTCACCTTCCCAAACGGGAAGACTCCAGTCCACCCAAACCCTAGGGATCCAACTTGTGGTGACTGCAATGTGGGTCAAATTTTTTCTTCGGAGAGATAAGGCAAGGAGCTCCGACGCTGATGGGGAGATAAAGAGCAACCTCAAAGAGAACACCCTGGAGGAAGCTGGACCGGCGCCTGGCCTACCTGACTTCCTGTTGACCTGGTTCTGGGGGATGATGATTTGGCAGGAGTTGGCGTCATTGGTGTTCTTGATGGGGTGGCTAAGAATACAGATGATGCGGATGACCTGGCCCGCCTTCCGCACACGGTCTGGGATGTAGCTGGGGTCACAGATCAGCTGCTTGCAGCGGGCCACCTGAAAAGGCACCAGAGGTCCTCACCCCTGTCATATCACTCCCCTAGGTAGTCCTGGGGCTGTACTCACAGCAAGGGCAAGCAGCTCTGGCAGACAAGGCGCTCCTCAGAGCCATCACTACTGCCCCTCCTGAATGCATGGCCCTGCCCTGCAGCTCTGAGGTGGGCCCTGACACACAGGCCGGGTGCCCGGCCCCGCCCCCCATGGGCACTGTGATCAAGAACACTTTTGCACCACAGACGTGGCATGTGGACTCTCAGACCCCTCACCAACAGACATGGCTCTGACGACTTCTGGACCCCTAGTTCCCAGCTGCAAGGCCCTTGAGGCTGCGTAGCAGCAGACCCAACAGCACAGTCAAGAAGAAGGTGGCCACACCCCACCTCAACCATGGTGACAGCAGTGCATGGGGAAGGCTCACCTCTCCCTCAGACTTCACGCCCACCACCTTGCCGTTCTCCATGATGATGTCATCCACAGGTTTGTTCAGCATATATGTCCCCCCATAGATGGCACTCAATCTGTGGTGAGAATAGCCACGGTGAGGGCCCCTCCCAGGAGAAACTGGGACCAATTCCACTGCACCCTTCCCTCCACCAAGGTGCAAAGAAGGCTGCCCCAGGCAGGCAGCAGGCAAGAGACCCCGGGATTCATCCCAGCTCTGTCACTGCTGTGAACTCTGGCCCCATCTCGACAGGCTTCTTCGTCTCTGGAGCTTCTCCCCAGAATACACTGTCAAGGGTCAGCAGCAGGTGGCATGAAGGAGGAGTGCTCCACACCCACCAAGACAGCCTGGGGGACCAGAATGAAGGTCCTCTCTGGAGGTCAGCTCCCAGCTAAGCCCTGACTCAAGGTTCCATTGCCCTGGGCCCAGTCCTGGTGCTTCCAGGAACTGAGCAAGTTGTTTGTGGAGACTTGGTTCTTCGACTCTGACTTCGATACACTGGGGTTGTGCCCCCATCAGCCAAGGATGGAGCGAAGTCAATGAAGACCAATGCTAGCAGGGAAATGCTCAAGGGGCCAGCTCCACTCCTGGCCCTAGTCCTACTCAGCCAATGCCAACTGAAAAAACCCACGTCCTCACCTTGCAAAACCCTGAGGCAGCTCACCCAGGCCGTAAAGCGGGTATAAATACGGGCTCTTGCCATACCGGGCCAGGGACTCACTGTACAACTTGATGCGGTTGATGGTCTCAAGACAGGGCTGGTCCAAGTAGCTGGGGGACAGGGGTAAGGGAAGATGCTCCAATAGCAGCACCCTTGACTCACCACCACCCAGGTACCAGGCCAGTCTTCCCACCACCCTGAATGGCCTAGGGAACATGAAGATCAAATGCAAGGGGGAAATGGAAAGGGTGATAGGTGAGCCTATGGCTGAGTACAAGAGACATGCGGGGCAGGGGAACAGCAGGCAGGTGTGGGGAGGGAGGAGGCAGGCCGGGCGAGGGGGCTGCCGCCACACCAGCTTCCCTCACTCATCAGTGCGGTAGAGCGCCAGGGCGTGGCCAGTGAAATCGATGACATCCTGGCCCAGATCAAACTTTCGGTAGACATCACGCATGCTGGTAGTCTGAGGGTCAACACCCTCAAAGGTCTTGGGGTCATTCTCATCGAAGTTTGCCACAAACACCAGGAACTTGCGGAAGCGCCGTTTCTCAAACATGCCCATCAGATCTAAGGCAGGCGGCAGGACGAGGTTCTGCACCAGCGCAGCACAAAACTCTCCTTCCCAAAGGGCAGGGCCCCACTCCCAGTGTAGCTGTTGTGGGACCTTAGCTCAACCCCTCCGCTCTTTTCAGCCTCGGTTTCCCTGCCTCTATGAAGAGGGGACTGGCCTGGATGGCTCTAAGGGCCTTCCTTGCTCGGACATTTGGGGATGTCTCGGGGATCCAGTGGAGCCCCTGCCAAAAGGTCAAGTCTTTCCAAAGGAGCCCTGTCCTCCTCCACGTCACATCCCTGCTGCGTGTAGGCCTCTCTCCTGGCAGCCATCCGTGAGGCATGGCATGGGGCAGAGAGGATACAGAGTGAAGGGCCTCTGGTTCTTCATGGGGAATGTGACTTTGGACAAGGGGGTGCCTTACTCTGGACAGCCACCCATCCCAAGGACAGTCAACTTCCCTGCCACCCCATGATTCTCTGGCTCAGGGGGCCCACACTCACTGGAAGCCAAGGCCTCAGTCTCAGTGGACGGTACTTTGTAGATCTTGCCCCCCTTGTAGACAAAGCTGCCCTCCACCACCTTGAAGTCCAGATAGCGAGTCACCTCTGTATACAGTAGCATCTTTACCAGCTGCCCTGTGGGTGTGCATGGGGCAACATCGGCACTGCTCTCTCCAGAGTCTCTGCTGGTCTGGCTGCACCTCCCCATCACCCCGACCTGCAATATGTCCTTCCTGTCCCTCACCGTTAGCCATGAGGAATTTGGGAATGAGGTCAACGTTCCAGTCTCGGCCTCGGCCCATCGACTCAGGGGGCCCCTCCAGCAACTGAAAACGCTTATACAGCTGTAAGCAGAAGAGAGACACCTCAGGGACCATCTCCTCCTGCTCCAGGCACCTGGGGAGCTTCTTCTACCCTGTGCCGCTACGTGGGAGGTGAACAGGGATGGGCCTGGGCCCAGATGTCTCACCTCCTCCAGGGGTGTGATGGAGGAGCTCTCACCCCCATAGTAGGGGTTCCGGTCCATGTGCAGCACCTTCTTCCCGTTCACAGACATGATGCCCGACAGGATGCATTCCTGGAGGGAGGGCAATACCATCCTCTCACTCCTACCTGCCTCCCTTCCTACCAGCAGCCCTGATTTGTTCCCCACCCAAACCTGATCCAGTGGACAGCTCCTTCCACCCCCTCAAACCAGCTAGTTGCCTCGCCTAAAATTGGGGTGACAGCTTCATCTGACCACCGTCTCCTTTGTAACCTTGCTGGGCAAAGGAGTCCCATCCCCCTCACAAGGTAGGCAGTGAAATAATGGAGGCTCTGAGAGAGGCAGGGCATCCAGCAGACACAGGATGGCCTTCCAGTACCCACAAGCCAATGGACATGTATCTACGCAGAGCTGCACAGAAAGGCTGTTAAAACACAATGAGGCGCAGACGAGACCTAGCTGGACTGCGAAGGACACTCGAAAGGGAGGTGAAGAAAGGCTTAGCGCAGTCCTTGAAATTGTAGGCCCCACCCTGGACTGATCTTTCTTCAAATGGCGGGAGACCCTGCTGCTGATGAGGGGCATCTGGGCTTGGACTGAGAAAGAAGAGTCTCTCTGGGGAGCGGGCCAACGGGGTTTTTGGGGAAAAGGGGAAGATAAATACCCTCACCCGTCACTGTCACTAGCCCAAGGACAAAGGCTGCAGATGCTACTCAGCCTGAGGTCTCCATAGGCAACCGGGGTGGGGTTGAGGGAATGTGCTTACTGCCCCCACCGCTGCTCCTTCTGGAACATTCCCTGGATCCCCTGGCCCCAGAAGACGAGGAGGTGGGCTGAGGGCCCACCCTGAGGAGGCCCCCTGACCCCATGTCCCTGTCCCTACCGGGATTAGCGCAAGATGGGAAGGGACGCTAAGCGGGCGATGGGTGCGGGCAACCTGCGGGAGGGGGGGAGATTCCGTGATGGGTGGGGGCGATGGGTGGGCGGGGTCGGGGCACCGGGCTTAGCTGGGGTGCATTTTCCGGCCCAGCAGGCACAGGGGTAGGAAAGATGGGAGGGTGCCGGGGGTCAGACCCGGGCAGCCAGGAAGGGGGCCCCTTCGGGAAGATGGGGTCATAGCAAAAAGCAGAGGCGACGTCGCGGGGGGAGCGGCGCGGGGAGCGGCGGGGTGGGCACGGTGCCGGCTTTTTGGAGAGCCGAGCGCATCAGATGGCAGTGACCGGAGGGTGGGCCGGCGGCCACATCATCGCGGGGGGTGGCGAGGGCAAGACACGGGGCCAAGAGCGCCTGGGGCCGCACTTACGGTGAGGCCGGTCCCCAGCACGATCACATCGTATTCCTCGTCCATGGTCAGGCCTCGGTGCCAGTGCCCGCTCGGCTCCTCCTCCTCCTTCACCGCCGCCGCCGCCGCCGCAGCACTGGACCAAAGATGGCGGCGTTTCGGTCGCCGCCTGACCCCTCCGCCTCGTCAAAGAGTCCCGCCTATTCTCGAGCCCCGCCGCGCCCGGCCAGATCCACCGTTTCCCCAGCTCGCCTCCCAGGAGACCTGCTAGGGCCCGGGCCACAGCACCAGCGCGGCTCCGAGGACGACGCTGCTCGCCGAGGGTCCAGAGAGGCGCGGGGCGGGGCGGGCGGGGCGGGCTGGCGGCCGGTACTGCGGCTAGGAAAGGATCCGTGCGCGGAGCCGCGCGCGCCCCGCCCCATCCTCCCCGCCCCGCCCCGCCCCGCGCGCGCCCGCCCAGCCCCGCGGGAGGCTCGGCGCGGTCCCGCGGCCGGGTGCGCGCCGCTGCGGCAGCCGGGGCAGCCCCCTCATGATACGAAGGCTGCCATTGTCACGACGGCCTCCCGAGTCGCCAAAGCGTAACGGGACTCGGCCCGACCGCCCCTTCCTGCCCTAAGTGGTTAGGGCCCACCCTGCTAAAGCCCCTCCAGGTCTCCGCGGATGCTTCCTCACCTCTTCCTCACCGGGCTCCATCCTCCCGCATCCCTCCAGCGAGCACGCACCTAAAGCCCAGTGCAGAAATGACCTACAAGAGGCCCAAATCGTGGCGATCCGCGTTTATTAGGAAGGAAACAACCGAGCACGCCAGGCTCCTGCCAGGCACTCCCGATGGGAACATGCCAGACAGCTGGAGATTGCACCCAGCCCACCTGGGGTGGAGGTCCCTTCCTTCTCAGGCCACAGAAATAAACCCCAGTGTACTGCTTATCATTAGCACAGCATCACCAGAAAACAATAACGACAGCAAAGCAGGTCAGACAGTTAAGTAGTACCTCCACACCCCCAAACTCAGGGAGCCCCATAACCTTAAGGAGAGAGCATTTGCTACATAAAAGCACTATCCACAGCCAGGGATGATGTAGACACAATAAATAAGGAGAAAGGGGACCCTAGAATTCATGTCCCTTACGCCTCACCGCGGCTGAGCCTGGGACATTGGTCTAGCATCTACGCAGAATTATGTACACCTTGTTGGTAGGGATGGGGGCAGCCCCAGGAAATCTCCTTAGTGGGCTGAACGGGGAGCAAGATGGGCTAAAGGGAGCTTGGGGTTCATGCTGTGGTAGGAAGAGGGACACTGTCCCACCCTCAACCCCCTCCTGGCACAGGGTCACACAATCTGGGTCAAAGAAATGGTGGGGCCCTTGTGGTCATCAAAGCGATCCATGGTCTTGAGGCTGAGGATCATGTGCAGGCCATAGGTGAAGATGAAGAGCATGAAGAGGGAGGTGAGCAGCCCCATCCATATGCCGGGGGAGAAGAAGCCGGCGCAGTCGCTGGCATAGGAGAACTGCTCGCCCATCACATTGAAAGCTTGGATCTGGCAGACACACAGACAGGGGTCAGAAAGGACCGTCGGGAGGCCCGAGCCTGTGCCCAAGCAATTCTGTGACTCTTTGGGCCTCTCCTTGCCTCTCAACCACCAGCCTTGGCTCCATGACCTGAAGCTGGGCCACCCCTGCTCCATACCTGGAAGTCCTGAAGTGTCATCTGCCAGTGGGAGGGCTGCGTGCGGGCCACAAGGAGACTGCCCTTCTTGCTCAGGCTGCTGACGTACTCGCAGTGGAAGGAGTAGATGCTGGGTCCTGTGACCTGGGAAGCATTGAAATAGGCGACGGAGCCATTGCTGTGGATTTCGAGGCGCTCCATGGTAAACCAGTGCCGGGCGGACACTGGGTAGAGGCGGCTGGCCAGAATGAACCTGGGAAAGGCGGCAGGGATGTCAGGTGAGCCGGGGAGGCGGAAGTCACAGCAGCCCACCCGCACCTCAGCCACCCCCAGGACTTACTTGAATGTTACCGTGGTACCAAAGAGTCGTTCATAGGTCAATGAGAGCCTGCAGGGCCAGAGAAAGGGGCGCACTGTGAGGCCCTGGGAGGGCCTTCAGCACCTTCGAGGAACAAGTTCCTCAGCTCTGCTCCCTACCTAAGCTGCCTCGGGTCCTTGCAACCACCTGAAGAAGCAGTGTCCCCACTTGACAGATAGGAAAACTGGGGATTTGGTCACATTCCAAGCCCAGAACAGAGCTGAAAGTCAGGACCTAGGTCCTCCTTGCCACCAGCACGGGGTTCCTTCCTCTGGTTCCCCTGGACTCAGTGCCCCTTTTGCTCCCTCTTAGGTTCACTGAGGTACCTGGGCTGGGCTTCAGGGGTGAGAGCAAACGGAAGGGCATGGTTGCCTCATAAATGGCTCAGGTAGCTGGCCTGGTATTTACCCATACACAGTCCCAGACATTTTGCTCAAGGGGGAGGTGACACATTCCCAGGTAACCTTGACATGTTAACAATGAAGGTCCCAACCAAAGACTCACGAGCATGGGGAGGCAGAGGTCTGGACAACTCCCTCCAACAGCAACCTCCTGCATCCTCATGCTGCCCAGACCCCAAAGAGACCATGGCCATCCCCACCACAACACACAGACCTGACCCTGGCTCCCTGCCCCACCTGTGACCCTCAGTGTTGGAAAGGTCACCTGTGGTGGCCCAGTCCTCCCCAGCCTAGTGCCCTTGCCTGGCAAAGGAGTCATTCCAGAAGGAGCCAGTCAGGTTGAGCTCCTGCGCCCCAAAGGTGAGGGGGGTCAGATCCTCCCACTGGTCCTTGTACGCCACAGAGAAGTTTTGGGCCCAGAACAGGATCCGGGGAGTGGTGTCATTGTAACTCACAGGAGGATGGATCACAGGTGATGCTGGCTGTTTTTGTAGCAGCTGGCGACCTAGCCCCTCAGCCACCACAGCTACATCACGGACCACCTGCAGAAACACCCAACCAGCCTTCTTTTAGCAGCCCTGGGAGACTGTCTTGCTCCAACTCAACTGTCATGTCCCCCCACAGGGCACCCTGTCCACTCTCTTAAAGTCCTACCAGCCTTTCTTCCAGGAGACTTTCCCTGATGGCCCCTAAGTCCTGATGACATTCCTAGTCCCTCAAACTTAGGATCATTTAGACTTAGTGTCCGAGTTTGCCACCCACAAGTCTACAGGACAAGACAGAAAGCTACCCCTGGAATGGGGAGGCAGGACCTGAGTGCTCATCCTACTCCTCCCCCAGAGTCAGCCCAAGGACCAGCCACTCCAGAGTCACACTACAAGGGTTCTGTGCCTGATGCCTCCCCTATGCTGGGACCCCCCGGGGGGCCTGCCTGTGGCATACATCCCCACCTCCAGGCAGACTCACCACACTGCCTCTCCCCACATGCCCTAGAGCCCCTGCCGGAAGGGCACATACCCTGGAAGGGCGGACCGCTGTGAGGGCTGCTGTATATGGGACATCTTCAGACTTGAGTGTGCTCAGGACCTGCCCAATGACCTCATCTGAGGGTCAAGAAGGAAGCAGAGACCCAGGTCATCAGGCAGCCTGCTTAAAGAAACACTCCCACCGTCTGCTTTAGAAACCTTCTAGACTAGCTGAAATTGGTGATTTGACTTTCCACTGAAGATCCTTAGGAGCAGCTGTTTCTCATCCCATCCCCCCACCCCCATTTCCAGCTTCCCTAGGGACAACTGTGGCTTCAGTAATCGACTCCCTAATGTGAAGCCCTACCTATGTGACAAGAGAAAATACATGTAGATACAGAAAACTTCCCATCTACCCACAAAAGGATCAAGACTGCCTTTCCATGGGGAGTGACTGTCCTTTATCGCAAATAGGTAAGTCCCAGAATTGTTTTTCCAAATGTCTGCAGTCTAGTAAACCCGTAACTCTAGGATGCTTGCTGCCTGCGCAGAAACTGGCTGCACAGGCTCCAGTGCAGAGGCCCCCTCTGCCGAGTGGGGTCCGACTGGACAGGGTCCTCTGCCAGGTGGTCCCTGGCTAGTCCCAGAAGCCAGCATTTCCCTGCTCCACTGCCAGCTGCCTCGAGAAGCAGGTGGGCCACCCTGGGAGTGAGGAGGCTGAGGAACTGCAGGCCAGCTCTCTCTGTGGTCCCTGCCCAAGGGCTGGATGAGGACATGCATCCTCCCTGACTCCACTCACCGTTGCCTGTGAGGACTTCCCTGGGTGCCATCAGACCAGAGCTATGGAAGACAGACAGAGCATCAGAGTCCTCAGGTGGCCTGAACCTGCACTGCCCACTACCCTTCCTCCTCCCCAGCTTCTCCTCCCCACTAACCCCATACACCAAGCCTGTACACTCTTACCTCAGTACCCCCTCCTGGAAGCCCAGCCCTCCCCCAGGCTTCACAGTCACACTCAAGTCCTGGCCACCTGCTCTGTGACAACGACCTGGCTAGGTGAGGAGGCTCCCTACCTGCAGGGCTCACATCTGCCTCATCTCTGGAGGCCCAGCTCAGTTTTAGGCACCAAGTCCTGAGTCACAGAAAAGGCCCTCTGTAGAGAGCCAGAGTAGCCCACTCGCTCCGCGGGGATCAGCAGCAAGGCTGCTGCGAACTTTGGGTGAACTCCAGAGAAGTGAAACCATAATAGGGGAATGTGTATGTCTCAGAGAAGTGGAGATGGATATAGAGAAAGATAACCAGCTTTTACTGACCTTGCTGCAACATAGTTAACTGAAGTGTGAGAATTATAACCACAGGCTGTTCTAAGTAACTGCACTCCCTCTGCTGTGTGCTTTGTAAACATATAAGATAAAGTACTCTGAGGCAGGTGGGGGCCAAAGAGACTGACATCGTCATCTCTCGGACCGCCTGGCCCAGCTCTCTATGTTATGTTTGTCTTTGTGTCTTTCTTTATCCCCTGCTGTTCCCTCTTAGGTCTTTGAACCCTTGTGCAGTATGGGATGCAGCATGGGCCAGAGCCCTCCCCACCTCTTCTGGCCACACTGGGCACCTTCTGGAAGGGCTGTGAGGGGTGGGGAGTACTAGCATATTTGGCTGAATGGTGCTACCACATGCCATGCCCAGATTCTTGCTGCTGTCTGGGACCTGAAGCTGGTGGCTGGGCCATGTGGGCAGTACCTGGCCAGGTAGGGCAGGCGGATGAGCAGCAGGGCGGGGAGGCTGGCATTGAGCTTCAGCTCCTGCAGGGTGGCCAGGTCCACATGCAAGGGGCTGGCCCCAAGCTTCTCCTGCAGGTAAGTGGTCAGAGTGCTGACTGCATACCAATCAACGGCAGGAAGCACCAGTGAGGAAGGGGCCAGTTCCAGGGCATTCTGGGGCAGGGAAAAAGCAAAAGGTGAGTTAGCCAGGGGCCAGTGGGCCTGGGCCAGCCCCCAAAGCTCTCTAGCAGCTCTCCTCTGGCAAGCCACATCCACAAAGCCGCACC